CCGCCGTCGAACACGTTTCTTCCCACCTCCCGTTCGGGAACCGCAGCGGCGGCGCCGACCATGTTTTCGTCGCGTCACACGACTTCGGCTCATGCTTTCACACCATGGTATGCAAACATTTGAAAAAAAAAAATCATTTTTTTTTTTAATTGTGGATGATTTTTTATTTATTTTCTTCTGGTTTTTGTTTGTTAATTTGTAGGAGGATGCGGCGGTGGCGGAAGGGGTGCCGGAGTTTATGAGAAATTCGATAGTGTTGCAGACTTTTGGTGTGGAAGGCAAGCACCCATGCCAGGACGTCGAGAATGTGGTTATTCCGCCGTACGTCTCGCCGGAAAATGTACGGACAACCCTGGATAAGTCTCCGGTGACCGGCCGCCGCGACATTTTCGCGTTTTTTCGGGGTAAAATGGAAGTCCACCCCAAGAATATTAGCGGTCGTTTTTACAGCAAGTAAGCCCCGAAATTTACGTTATTGTTATATAACAGTTGTTTTTGGTGTGAAAATTACGTTATTAACCCTCAGTTCTCGTTTTCCGGCAGGCGCGTGAGGACGGCGATATTGCGGAAGTACGGCAGCGACCGGCGGTTTTACCTGCGGAGGCACAGGTTCGCCGGTTACCAGTCGGAGATCGTCCGGTCAACGTTCTGCTTGTGCCCTTTGGGGTGGGCCCCATGGAGCCCGAGGCTGGTTGAATCTGTTGCCCTGGGTTGCGTCCCGGTCATTATCGCCGATGGCATCCGGTTGCCCTTCCCCTCCGCCGTGCCCTGGCCGGAGATCTCACTCACCGTGGCGGAATCCGACGTGGACAATCTGGGCAAAATTCTCGCCCACGTGGCTGCCACGAATCTCACAGCAATACAGAAAAACCTGTGGGACCCGGAAGTGAGGAAAGCCCTCCTCTACCACGACCCAATAATAGAAGGCGACGCCACGTGGCAGATTCTCGTGTCCCTCAAGGAAAAGCTTGGTAGGTCCCACAAAAGGTCAAGGGTTTCCATCCAATGAGAAGCTTCCACGTCATGGCTTCCAGCTACGTTGAGTAAGTGGTGGCGCTCCTTTCGACGTGTATCGCAGAAGTACTTAGCGGGAGACAGCTGGAATTTTCTTTCTTTTTTTATGGGGAATGTTGAAAAATGGGTGGGGCCCACTTGCTCGATGTGTTGGAGGGGTTATTATCCGCTGCTTCGCTTATCTGGCGTTGTTGCTGTGTGTCTGACGTGGCAATTGGAACGGGAAATATGTTGCTTTAGCGGCTTGGTTGTACATCATGGGTCGTATGTTGTACCTAAATACATCTGTACATGTGAAAATGAGAGAGACTCGAGATGGGGAATTGGGACCACGTGTTTTGCGCTGGTCCACATGGTCCGCTCTGCTGTACAAATTGCTGGTAGATTTTTCTTTTTTTATTATTATTCATTTAGTTATTTTTTAAATAATTACACATCCGAGCTGGATATCAATTTTTAATTTCTTTATACTACTAATAAAAACTGATTTGTTCGACCCTACACCCGTTGATAAACACCGGGTGGGTCTTCTGCTGCCACG